AGAAGATGAAAATGCTCTTCACTGGCCTGACTCCCACTAAGAATGGACATCGTTCAGGAGTGTTGCAAGTTTGGTTCATTTCAATAGGATACTGGTCATTGTGCCCAATATTGATAGATGATGTATTACATTGTGCATTTCTATATATATTACAAAGTGTTCTTCTGATTGTGACAAGAAAGTTAGAGTGGACCAAATATTTTGAAGGAGCTAGCTCAAAGGTGCTGCCATTGGCCACACTGAATAATATAAACTTAAATATCCATAACTCCCATAGTGGAACTGAGAGAGAGAGAGGGATAGAAAAAGAGAAAAGAGAAAAAGATTTCCTTTATTGAAAAATAATATATATAGCAGAAGATAGTAAGTATAGAAGAAATGGTTTAGTGAGAAATCACCATTTTGCAACCCTTTTTAAAAACTGATTCAAGCAAGGATAAACAGAGGATGCTAACACCATTCAGTGGAAGTTTGTTGGAGAAGAAGATAGTTAGGTTATTCGAATTATCACCCCACAGACTCTTTTAATTAAAAAGGGGGGAAGATATTTACAATGAAGATATCTCACAGACACACTTTAACCAAGTTATCAAAATTTCTCATTAATAACAGAACAACTGACATTCTACACCTCTTTCTCATAAGCTACAAAAGAAACTATACAGTATCATCTGTGTAGTATTCTTGCCAAAATGTTTAACTTGAATCTAATCATAGGGCCAACACAGAATTATGGTACATTCTACAAGACAACAGCTCAGACTTCAAAATGTCAGTGTCAGGAAAGGAAAAAGAAAAGGTGGAGGGAAGCTATTCTATGTTAAAGAGGACTAAAGAGACCTAACAGTCATACAGCACGCATAAATCTGGATTTCATCTTGGATTTTTAAAATATAATATAAATGCCATTGCGGGGTAAGTGGAAACTTAAATATGGACTGTATATTAGGTGATATTGTCAAATCAATGTTAAATTTTTGTAAATGATAATGGGTGGAATGTCACTGAGAATGTCATGTGGAGTGGAGTGTATTATATTTGCAACTTATTTTTATTTTTTAAGATTTTATTTATTAATTTGAGAGAGAGAGTGAGAAATCATAAGCCAGGGGAGGAGCAGAGGGTGAGGGAGAAGCAGACTCCTCACTGAGATCCTGAGATCATGACCTAGTCTGAACCCTGAGATCATGACCTAATCTGAAGACAGATGATTAACCAACTGAGCTACCCAGGTGTCCCTGCAACTTATTTTTAAGTGATTAATAGAATATTTTTATGTATCATATGTAGCATGTTGAAGTGCTATTTACACATGTAAATAGAAATAGAGACAGAGACAGAAAATAGAAATAATGACCAACCTAGTAACAATAAGCATCTCTAGTGCCTAAATTGTGATCTTGAAATAATATTTTTCACTAGAAGAAACTGGAGTCTGTGGACAAAAATGGCTGATCCAAGTCTGTGACAGAAAATGACAAGATGATCCTGGAATATCTTGTTTACCCAATACCAAAGAAATTATCAGACTGCTAGGGTCACCTCAGAAAAATTCAGAAGACAACATAAAGTTTTCACTGGTCAAAGATGGGGCAAGTGGAGCTTCAATCGTGATAATAGTAATTTTGATGGATTGAAACTAATTAAATATGTTTAAATCTATGAAGTCATAATGATATGTATATATGTGTATGTGCTTACATAATATGTGTATACATATATATTTATATAAATATATACATATATATAAAGAATTGATCACCTTCAGAATGTGATTGGAGTCAGTCCATTATCCTGAAAAATTATTTAAGTAAAAACAAAGAGGGGCACCTGGGTGGCTCAGTCTGTCGAGCATCTGACTTGTCATTTCAGCTCAGGTCATGATCTCATGGGTCCTGAGATTATGCCCCCAACAGGCTCCATGCTCAGAGGGGAGTCTGCTTGAGATTCTCTCACTCTGTTTCACTCACTCTCTCTGTCTCTCTCTAAAATAAATAAATAAATCTTTTAAATAAATAAATAAAAGCAAAGAATCAAGGATCTATCCTGCTTTCCTATATGAACTATACCACTGGGTAGCCAAATAAGAGATTAGGGGAAATATCTCTTTATTAATAGTATTTAACAAATGAAATAGAAATTATTAAAATTAGAATATGTCCATTTTGTAAACAAAATTAACTACTAGATATAGACACTAATCCTCAGTGGCTGTTAACATCACTCTGAGGGGGTAGACAATCAGATGTGCTTCCTACAGAACTGCCCAACACCTCGTATGCTCTTGCCTAAAGGATCAAACGTGAGACTGGTCCAGTCCCTGGATCCAGCTGCCAATTAGCAGGAAACAGAGAGGACAGAGGAACATGTTGAATTATACCTTGAATTTATAATCAGCAAATTTCAGTCTGTGGGAGATTCTGCCAGTCAAAGGACCCAAACAGAAAGTAAGAAAAAGACAGAGATGATTAGGTTAAAACTTAAAGGACATCTTTTTTTTTTTAATGGGTAAATCTAAATTATAATGTCTAGAACATTTTATCACAACTGGGGGGTGAAACTATTTGCAAAGCAGCAATTACTATAGAAGTAATGGGGGAAGACAGTGTTCATCATTGGGATGAATCTCATGGAAAGGAGCTCCTGCAGTGGAAGGCAAAGTTGTACATTTTTACCTGGGTTGTAGTTACAAGGGTGTTCATGTTTATAAAAATTCATTGCCATATATTCACTTCGTGTAGTTTTCTATATCTTTATTTTACATTCCAAAAATAGCACATGTTTTAAAAGAGAGAAAGATACTTAGGAGACACAACAACAAGTACAATATGTAGCCCTTGTTTGGATCCTGATTTGAACAAGCCAATTATAAAATATTTATGAGATAATCAGGAAAATTAGAACATTGACTAGATCTTTGATAACATTTGGGATTATTGTTTAATTATAGATGTGATAATACTACTGTGTGTTTTAGAAAAAGAGTATTATTTAAAGATACACACTGGAATATTTTAGATAACGTTTGAGATTTTTAATCCATTGAGGATAGAAATGGCAGGTAGGGGTATAAATGAAACAAATTGGCAAATGTTGCTAATTGGGGAGACTGGTTTCAGAGTACATGGGGGTTCATTATATTATTCCCTCAACTTTTTAAAATTGATTAATTATTTTAAAGATTTTATTTTATTTATTTGAGAGAGAGCAAGCGTGAGCAGGGGGAGGGGCAGAGGGAGAGGGATAAGCAGACTCCCCACTGAGCAGGGAGCCCAGTGTAGGGCTTGATCCCAGGACCGTGGGATCATGACCTGAGCCAAAGGGAGATGCTTAGCCAACTGAGCCACCCACACATCCCCATTCCCTCAACTTTAGTGCATATTTGAAGTTTTCCATAACAAAAAATTCTTTCATTGTCATGATTTGGATGAGTTGTTCATAAGCTAATGAGACACGGACACAAAAGAGCTGTGTGTCGATTGCAGGAGCAGCTTCCTCTCTTTTTAATGAACTGTCGTGAAAATTCTGTCTTCATGGGATGATTATTTAAGTAAAACCAAAACTTCACAGCCAGGTGAATACCGAATATCCCAGGGCTTCTTTCAGACGAGACTGGCAAAATAAAACACGTATTAACTCCTCTCTAGAGGTCTGGAGACTATGAAGCACAGACTAAAATGCAGTGAATGTACCGTCTGGGAGCCGATGTCCAGATTGGTGCACCTTAGAGGACAGAACCTTCCATATTCTGTGGAGTTTCAGGCCCAGACCCAAAATCTGTCTTTGAAACACCTCCCACACTTGTTGAACAGCTGCTCAATCTCAAGTTAGCACCCAAAGGAAAACATAATAATATGGGTTGTTTTTTAAGGCCTCGCTGCCTCAATTTTATTATGCAGGCATCAGCACCATATGCCTACTGGTGCGGCAAATTGAGAAGAAAATGCTCCTATGACCGTGCTGCTGATTTTAAAAATAACATATCTAATGAGCCAGCTGTGATTAGACAAAAAAATAATAATAATAATCATTTCTGCAGTTTGTTTCATCCTAAACAGTTCTCAAATATTACTCTCTCTTTACAGAACTCTAATACAGATATCATACAGATGGTCCATTTGACAGCTTCTATTTTAAACAAGCCACCAGGGAAATCATTGTTTCTATCAAGCCGTAGAAAAAAATAGTTTGTCCCAGGTCAGATGAGCAGGACTAAAAAGAAAGTATGAATTTGACAAAATGACATGTGTTTTATAGAGCAGTGTTGTCAGTTCTTCAAGATACAATGCTCTGTCTCCTTGGAACTTGCAAATACAGGAAATAAAAGATTGACTTGAGTGCTAAACCACACAATCAATATATAGTGATCAGAGCTGATAGTGAAAATCTGCTTAGAGACCAAGCAGCTGTCAGGTCAGCAAGACTGAGCTATGAAAAATGAATATATTATGATACCTAGAGAATGTGTTCATCCAAAAGTGTGTGGGAGGGGTCACAGAAATATAGAAAAGCGAGTGTCACTAAGGTAAGTTTTGGCTGAGTCTAAACACCGTTTAGAACGGTGAGTCTAAACACCGTTCAGAGGACAGAGAACCCTAACTAGTGACTCAGTTACTCGAGGCCTCAGGCAATGGAAACTCAAGGCAGAGGTCACAGATTTGTCTGGACCTGTTTTCTTTTAATATTCAAACTAACTAGAAACTTTTTTTTAAGATTTTGTGCAAGATTCTCCATTTATGGCTTTTCTTGAAAAAGCCCACAATCTCATGTGGAAAAAATCAGCTAGAACTGAGTAAAACTGTCACCTTCACTCCCCCATCAGTCACTTTCACTCAGTTCTCTTACCTGCCTGGACCCCACAGTCATCTATGTTGGCCACACACCCTGCCCCCCTGCAGAATACCATCCACTAGTCCACTGGTCTCACTTCTGCATGCTAACTCCACGCTCATACAATCTGCTGGTGTCAGCCTGACTTCTCCTCTTGGTCTTTTTTACAGGGAAGGAATGAGCTGGTCATGTTGATGTCATCTTCAAGGCTGAAGATTGAAACACCGCTGCTGCTAATTTCACAGTGGCGTGCACCCTGGATCCATGACTTGGGATTGAACTACCCAACGTCACCATATGGAATGCTCTGCAAAGAGGACCTTGTCCAATTTTCATTTTATATTTAGAAGGTACTTCGTGGTCTAATTTTATTTTATAAATCACATATGCTCACGTTATACTTTTGTATATAGCCGTGTGTGGTGTGGGGGGGATCTGAAAATGGGAGTTGGGTTAGTGGAAGAGCAACCAAAATAAAAGTTGGGGTTCAAAAATAAATGATCTTTGCCTTTCTAGCACTTCTTGCAGCATGCTGGGTGTATGTTTATGGTTGCTTTATCCTTTCTACTAGTATCATGTTTCATGGTTCTTTATTAATTGTGAAAGAATCCTTGCTTTTTCTGACTCTCAGACCTTACCTTCTCTACTTTGTTAATGTCGGTGCCTCTGCAGTCACCCACTAGCCTCCTTTATTTTATAATTTAGAAAATGTCCACCTACATATTGTACCTCAATTGTGTCATCTGCCGAAAAGCAAGATGATTGGGAAAGAAAATCTTAAAAACACTTCCTACACGTTCACACATTGCAGAGGCTTTACATCACGGGCATTTGGGAGCCCCACTGTGTCTAGGAGAACTTTCGAATGACTCATGCAGGAAACAACTTGGGGGAGGATGAACTCTGAAAGAGTCTCTTTAGCATGCATGCGGCAATGCTGCCTCGTGGAACAGCTCTTAAATGCTTCAAGATCCTCCAGCTCTTTCCACATTTCTTTTTTTTTTAAAGATTTTTATTTATTTATCTGACAGAAAGAGATCACAAGCAGGCAGAGAGAGAGAGAGGAGCAAGCAGGCACCCCGCTAAGCAGAAAGCCCGACGCAGGGCTCGATCACAGGACCCCGGGACCACCACCAGAGCCAAAGGCAGAGGCTTTAACCCACTACGCCACCCAGGCTCCCCTCTTTCCACATTTCAGTCAGAAACATAGACCTCTCCTTCATTCATTCAAAAAGTGGTTATCAAACATCTACCATGTGTCAGTGACCAAAGACACACCTAAGGCCAAGAGAAAGCAGTTTTCCTAAACTGAGTCTCAGTGATTGTACTGATGACAATAGTAAGACAGGACATTTTTTGCCTTTGCAGCCAGCCCCACAATGTGACTTCCATTGTTTTCTGCATTACAGGATAGGACCATTTGGCAGCTAGTGTCATCTAGATCTATACTTAGGATTTGTGTGTTTTCCTCCTGTAGGGAGGTGTCTTTGGACATGAAATTAGAGTTCGCTACAAAATGCAGGCTGAAAGCCGGCAACTACTTAGCGAATATTTCTCAGTATTACTTCCAAGTAATTTTGAAAATATACCAGAATGCCAGAAACTCATTTTTTCTCTCTGTGCTACCCCCTAATTTTTCCTATATGAGCATTACTTATGGTTGAAGCATCTTACAGTGAACAATGACTATGGGGCATACTGAGAAATATTAAATAAATAGATCTCTTACTGTTATGTTTTGAAATCACACGTGCATTTGATTGGTAAATCAGTCACACATAAAAGTATCCTAACTGAGAAGCTTCTCAGTTTCATTTCTACAAAATGGAATACTTCTAAGGCTGACATTTTGATAACTAAAATAAATCTTCAACGACAGAAAGAAGTATCTGGATCAACTCTTTACCTGGGTTACAAACTAAATTTATTTTAAATCTCGCTTTCTAAGACTCAAAGAGAATGACAGCAGAAAATTAAAATGACCACAGTTTTGAAGGACCAAATACTGATGTCTCAATTATAGAATTGACAGTCTAGCTCCAACAACTCAGATAAGACACCTGGCATTGGCCTGGAATGGGTTTTATCCCATAAAGATGTTTTATGTCTGACCAATGAGTACTTACAATTTAGGTAGAGAGAGGAATAACGGAGATATAATTTTAATGTCAACATTATTGTAAATAGGATCTACTTTACTAAAAACCTGTTTCTTCACCTATAAATTATGTTGGCAACATAGTTGCCAACTATGTTGGGACTATGTTTTAAGGAACTTAAAAACCTAACAAAGAGTGTTGTGGAAGCTGTGTGTGTGTTGTAGAGATTGTATGTTGTTAAAACTGTTAACTTTCAAATGACAACTCTACTATTTTATCATAATAATAAAATGATGACTCTGTGAGTTCCATGTGGGAACCCTGTAATTCATTTTAAAAAGTGCCCAGCAATCTACAGGTAGGCTTAGAGATATGACAACCAAGGAGGACATTTGTTGGCCTCACAAGAGTGGGTTTGATATGGTATTTTATAAGAGAAGGGGGAAAATATTGAGCCAAATGCCAAGTACCTTGCATTCTGTAAATAATCACAGAATGGCCTTCTGGGAGATAACAAACATATTTACCTAGACTACCCAAAGCCACTACCAAGCTGTTCTAAACTTGAAGGACTGAAGGACAATGGCTCACCTGCCTGCTATTTATTTTGCAAAGCAAGGACTACCATGAGTCTATTCCACTCCAGAACCTCAGGCTTCAGGGTTTCCATAGCCTGAGTCCACAATTTTTATGTCTAAAATTAACAAAAGTAACCTGTAAAAACAGAATGGAAATACCTACCCCACAACAACTGAACATTGTTAGAAAGGTCCAGTGAGATAATGTGCTTTAACAGTGTGCCCAGTGGGTGATAAGTGCTCCGGAAACGAGAGGACTTTGTATTACGCTCTGCACGCACTGTGGGCCATTGTGGGAGGGAAAGGAACTGAACTGCTCCCCTTTTGCCTCTCTGCCTCATAGATGTGGTCACCGCAGCTGAAATGGAGCAGTTCCTTCTGGGTTCTTCCTAGAGAACCAAAGTTGTACATCAGCAACGTAAAGTACGTGAGTCCCCCTTACTGACGCTAGTTAGATACCAAGAAAGAGAGGTAGTTTTCTGGAGAATTGCTTAGGGAGAAATGTGTGTATCCACTTCTGTGATGTCAAGTGCTGGCCACTGCCATGTAATTGAGAATGAATGCCACCCACCTCTGTACCCACAGGAAACAGGTGAAATCATTTTTCTCATAAATGGGATTGAACTCTTCTCCCCCCATGAGGATTTTTCAAATTCTTAATTATCACCTCCTCATGGAGGGCCCCTCTGACTACCGTTTTGAAAATAGCAACCCACTTCCCTCCCTATATTGATTCCTCTTCCTTAATGTTTTATTCTTTCTTAACCCCATTAACTTAATAAGATATGCTGTTTTCAAATTTATTATGTCCATTGATTATTGTTTGTCTCTTCCAGCTAGAATGTAATCTTTTGGGGACAGGAATCCATGTTTGTTTTTTGCCTAAAGTGTTGATAATTTGTTGAATGAACAAATAAATACATAGATTTATTCGCCTTTGCTTGTATGTGCACAGAGAAATTCTAGAAACCTCCCAAAAAATAATAACAGTTATTACTAGGGCAAGGAAAGTGGGAAAGTTGGTCTGAATGAACTGGGGGTGGGGTGGGAGGGAATTTTCAATTTTTTAATTTTGAACCATGTGACTTTTTGTTATGTGTAGTGTATATTTCAGAAATCACTCTTTCTAAAGTCACCTGCCATCTCTGACAGGACTTCCATCTCTCCACTCTCTCAAAAGTGATATCTCTTCCTTTTTTTTCCTGTGCCTCTTTAATTTTCCATAAAGTCTCAAAATAGTAAATTTTTCCCACCACACATAAATATGCATCAGCACATATCCTTTCTAGGTAAATGAATCTTGTAAGAAAAGTGTAAAATTAAACTTTGGTTTCAAGAGAGCTATTCTACTCAAATACAGAATGTAACCAAGTCTTTAGTGAAGTCTTCTTGTTCATCAGCAACAACAAAAAGTTGACTCCAGGGAGGATGATGGTGACCTTAGAGGGTTTGATAAACTGATAGTTCATGCTGGCAACTGCTTTGTCAGGTATTGGCCTTCTCTCCCAGGGGTCACCTAACAGCAGGTCCATTGTATAGTAGGTGAAGTAACCACTGTGCTGGGAACATGTGGTCACGGTTTCTCCCTGCTGCCAGTTTCCCTGAGGCCTGATATCAGCTTCCAGGCTGCACCCTCCACCATTTTAATGGAAGGACTCACTGGTGTTAAGCCATCTGAGGGGAATGCCTCAGAGAGACTGAGAGAACACAAACAAGCAGATCTGCAATGTAGTGTGAAGAAAACAGAAGAGGCACGTGAGCTGGGATGTGTTAAACATGAGGAATTCATTTACACAGTCACCCGCAGAAGCAACATGATCTAAAATCAAGACAAAGCCAGGAGCCTTGCCTTCAAATCGCCAGTGTGTGGAACACATGCTTAAAATATAGATGCTTTCTTCTTCCCCTCCAGCCTCTTTTTCACCTCCCCACACATTTTCCAGCCAGCGGTAGGCAAGTGAATTATTATTCTGGCCAAATTCTTCTAGGAAGGAAAGAGTAAATTCAATCCATCTTCATTTTTCTCCTCTGACAAAGTAGGTAAGACAGTGATGATATCAGTCTTTTAACTCACTGGATTTTGTTCACAGGGATTTAATGAATATTCGTTAATACACTGTGATAAGCAGTGCAAAATTATGAAGCATAGCAAAGTGATAAAGTCCACAAATTATAAATTCCTAAACCCTTATGCAGAAAACGGATTTCTTCTTACTGCATTAAGATCTGATCCCCCCCCAGATCCAGTGCCTTTTGAGTACATCTATGAATTTTAATTAAGTATATAATTAAAATCTGAAGAAAGAAGTCATTTCTAAACTTTTATTTATTTATGTTTAGTCGAAGTATAGTTGACTAGTTGGCATAAAATATTATATTGGTTTCATGAATAACATAGTGATTCAACTTTTATATACATTACAAAATGCTCACGAAGTATAGTTACTGTCTATGGCCGTACAAAATTATTACCATATTATTGACCGTATTCCCTATTCTGTACTTTACATCCCATGGACTTATTTATTTTATAACTGGAATTTTGTACCTCTTTATCCCTTTCAGCTGTTTCTCCCACCCCCTCCCCGCAGCCACAAGTTTGTTTCCTGTGTTTATGAGTCTATTTCCATGTTGTTCATTTGTTTTTTAGATTCCACATATAAGTGAAATCACACGGCATTAGTCTTTCACTGTCTGACTTACTTTACTTAGCATAAAACCCTCTAGGTCCATCCAGAAAGGAGTTATTTTAAATAGAAAGATTTATTCCTAATTTTTCACAAAATCATTTCCCTTTATACAAAATATTATTGAACAGTAGTCCTCTAGCATTGAAAATTGTCACATATCACAATGACTTATAAATGTCTTCTATTAAAACAAAGCCTAAAAATATTTTTTAATTGATTTGTTAAGATTATGTATTCTAGTTAATCCTCTAGCCTAGAAAATCATGTTAATGTAATTGGAAGTTGAAAGGAACATTTTCTAAATCGTTGCTTGATATTTCTCAGTGTTGGCTGCTGCTTCTGTCCAGAAAGATTATAATGGCACTACCCCTTGATATCCAGCCCCCAAACAAGATTGTCTGTCCTGTGACACCAGAGCAGCAAGTAGTCGAACTCGTTGCTACTTACCACCATGACTATAGTTCTCTCTCCAATGTAGGGGTCATACAGTGAAAGAAGAGCAGGTCCCACCCCACCTCCAGGTGACATAAGCACCCAGCCCGAAGGGAGCAGCTCAGATCTTCTGAGCAGCACCCGCAGAGAGAGGACGTCAGACCCCAAATAACAACTTTGCTGTGAGCAACAGAAGGAATGCACAATTCTGTTTATGATATTCAAAGACTGCAACACAGTCTATGAACCTGAGCTTCCAGAGCACTAAAGAGAAGTCACGCTTCAGGGGTCAAGTGCTGGAGGAAGGGCCAAGGCAGAGGCAGTAAGCTCTAGCAGTTGCCATGGCAACGGCAAAAGGCCTAGAAAAGGTTTCCAGATACAGGTCTGTCTCAAGAGTGTGTGATGCAGTCCCACACTGTCTGTGTTTACCACATCAGGATGAAGACAGAGATAGTCCGTTTTCCTACTCCCTCAGTCAGTTTACATTATGATTATCTGATGAAATTCTGGAGGGGCAAGTGTGATGAGCTGTCTGACCTGGGTCTTTAAGTTAGTGGTCAGTAAAGAAGGCTCGGGCCTTTCTTCCTGGCTTGAGCAGGAAATGTAGCATAAGCCAATCACTGTGGCAGGTTTAGCCTGGTTTGCTGAAATTTCCAGTTACACTAGAACATTTACCAGTCTCTACCTGCAAAATGATTGATCTAATATTAAAACTGACTTGGTCACGGGGCTCATGGCTGGCTCAGTCCGTAGAGCTTGACCCTCCATATCAGGGTGGTAAATTCAAGCCCCATGTTGGGTGTGGAGCCTACTTCAAAACAAAAGAAAATAGAAATCTGATTTGGTCACTATGTACTATTATTTGGAAATATTAAGAACTATTCCAGATAGTACAGGGGAATGTTCTTTGAATTTGAATTTATTTCAGAGAAAGCAACAAGGGAATATTTCTTTTTCTCCTTATTCCTTTAAGTGACTTGCAGAGGACAATTAGGCTTTCATTGCCGAGGTCAACTCTTTCCCCGGGACAAGAGGCCAGACCTGAGATGTGGGCCTATTCTCTGGATAAATTTTATCCTTCCCACACCCCAGAGAAGATCAACTTACTTCTTTTCTTGTGGTGAAATATATATAACTTAAAATTTACCACTTTAACCATTTTAAGTGTACAATTCAAAGGCATTAGGCACATGCACAATGTTGTGTGACTGACCATCAGAATTACCCATTTCCAGAACTTTTTCATCATCCCAAACAGAAACTCTGTACCCATTAAAAAATAACTCCCCAGGGGCACCTGTTGTGGCTCAGTTGGCTAGGCAGCGGGCTCTTGATTTCGGCTCAGGTCGTGATCTCAGGGTCCTGAGATGGAACCCCGAGACAGGCTCTGTGCTCAGCGGGGAGTCTGCTTGAGGATTCTCTCCGTCTCCCCTTGCCTCTCCCCATGCTTAGGGGCATGCTCGCCCTCTCAAATAAATAGATAAATCTCTGAAAATAATTCTCCATTACTCCCTCTCCTTAGCCCCTGACAGCCACTGTTGTACTTACTTTCTGTCTCAGTGAATTTGCTTATTCTAGGTCCCTTATATAAGTCATACAATATGTGTCCTTCTATGGCTGGCTGTCAGTATAATGCTTTCAAGATTCTTCCATGTTCTTGCCTGTATCAGATATTTCCCTCCTTTCAAAGGCTGAATGATATTCCATGGTATGTATGTACAACATAAACCCATTGTATGTGTATTATGCTGATTTCTTCCTCTGTCAATGGACATTTGGTTTGTTTCTACCTTTTGGCTGTTGTGAATAATGCTGTTATGAACATGAGTGCCAAGTATCTGTTTGAGTCCCTGCATTCAATTATTTGGGGTATATACCCAGAAGTGGAATATGGTATTTCTGTTTAACTTTGTGAGGAACCACCAAGCTGTTTTCCACAGTTTACATGGTGGGGCAGTGCATGTTGGCATGACCCTGGCTCTACCATTTTACATTACCACCAAATGTCTCCTTTGAATGCCTTTGGGAAGATAAAACCTCTTTGTTACTTTCCCAGATTTCAAAGTGCTGGGGGAAGATGGCCAGTAGAGCCAACTCCATGAGTCAATGGTTAATACATTTCCTTGATGTTACACCAAAACCCTGATAATTTAAAGCCAGTAAACATTTGTTGTGTGCCTGCTATGAGCAAGGCAATGTACCAAGCATTAGAGATAAAAAGAGCTCATAGCTTAGTGAGGATGACAGACATTTATGTGCAAAAGTGTAGTGTGATGAATCCAGTAATAGAAGGATGTGCAA